GCTTGTTAATTGAAAGAAAAAAAAATTAAACCCAGAGATTATGTTAAGAAAGAGTACTAGCTGGCCAGGGTTCTGATGGCAGTTGACATTCATATGGATAGTCATCTCCAAGTCAGACACATCTGTTTACAAAAGTAGGGAAATGTGAGCTGACAGAAAGGGCTAAAATAAAAAGTTTGGACCCTTGGAACATTAACCTTCACTTATCTAGAACCTCTTCCCCATCACCATCCAGGAAAATAAACTTCAGTACAAAGGTGCTGGTATAGTTTTATAATCCAATCTGGATGTTAATTTTAATAATGGAAAAAGTTTCTAGTATTTATAAAATTGAATCTTGCTGCATATAACTCTTTGTGTAGAACTCATCAGCATCTCTTTATTTTTTTTAAAATTTTTTAGTTTTTTTGCTTTTTGGTGAGGCAGTTGGGGTTAAGTGATTTTCCCAGGGTCACACAGCTAGTAAGTGTCAAGTGTCTGAGGTCATATTTGAACTCAGGTCCTCCTGACTCCTAGACCAGAGCTCTATCCACTGCTCCACCTAGCTGCCCCCTGCATCTCTTTTTAAAGACAGATACCTTCTCTGTGAAATTTAGGACCACCCTGGGTGAGAGTGGGAGTCCTTTGTTAGCATTAAGAATAAGTTACCTTGAAGAAATTAAAGCTGTCTATAGTCATATGAAAAAAATACTCTAAATCATTATTGATTAGAGAAATGCAATTAAAACAGCTCTGAGGTACCACCTCACACTTGTCAGATTGGCTAATATGACAAAAAAAGGAAAATGATAGATGTTGGAGAAGATGTAGAAAAATTGGAACACTAATACATTGTTTGTGGAGTTGTTCGTGGGCCAAAAAGAGAGAGAATATGATAAAGGTGGGGTGGGATAAGATTAAGGGAAATATTCTTAGTTTTTCACAACATGACTACTATGGAAGTGTTTTGCATAACTACACTTGTATAACCTGTGTCAAGTTGCTTGCCTTCTCAATGAGGGTGGGTGGGGAGGGAGGGAGGGAGAAAATTTGGAACCCAAAGTTTTAAAAACAAATGTTAAAAAAAGATTGTTTTCACATGCAACTGGGAAATAAGATATACAGGAAATGGGGTATAGAAATCTGTCCTGCCCTACAGGAAAATTGAAGGGGAAGGAGATAAGAAAGGGGAGGGAAGAGATAGAAGGGAGGGCATATTAGGGGAAGGAGTGTTCAGAATGCATGGCATCTTGGAGTAGGGGGAGGGACAAGATGGGAAGAAAATTTGGAACTCAAAATCTTGTGGAAGTAAATGTTGAAAACTAAAAATAAATTAATTTTTTTTTAAAAAGGTACAAAAGTTTACTGCAGAAGGTAACTGTTTAAAAATTAGAATTGATCAAGTGGAAACTAATAACTCCATGAGACATCAAGAACGAATAAAAGTCAAAAGTCTGAACAAAACAGAAGAAAATGTGAAATATCTCATGGGAAAAACAACCTATATGGAAAGTAGATCATGGAGAGATAATTTAAGAATTATTGGACTACCTGAAAACAATGATAAAAAAAAATGGACCTAGACATCATATTTCAAGAAATTATTAAAGAAAACTGCTAATCTTGGATCCAGAGGGTAAAATAGAAATAGAAGAAACCCACCAATCACTTCCTGAAAGAGATTCCCAAATAAAAACTCCCAGGAATATTATAACCAATTTCCAGAGTTCCCAGGTAAAGGAAAAATACTTCAGGCAGCCAGAAAGAAACAATTCAAATGTCATGGAGTCACAATCAATTTAACAAAAGATTTAGTAGCTTCCATGTTAAAGGAGCAGAGGGCTTGGAATATGATATTCCAGAAGACAAAGGAGCTAAGATTACAACCAAGAGTAACCTACCTAGAAAACTTGATTATGATCCTATGGAGCGGGGGCAAGGGGAAGGGAATGGATATTTAATGAAGAAAAGAACTTTCAAGCATTCCCAAGGAAAAGTTCAGAGCTGAATAGGAAATTTGAGATTAAAACATAAGACTCAAAAAAGCATAAAAAAGTAAACATGAGTGAGAAGCCATAAAGGACTTAGTAAAATTAAACCCTTTACATTTGTATAAGGGGAGATGATACATGCAATTTCTAGGAACTTTATCATCATTAGGGCAGTTATAAGGCATCTCCTTAGAGAGCGTATGTTTAAGTCTATTATGTTGAGATGAGCTCAAAAAGAAAAGTGGAAGATTGAGAAAAGGGTGCACTGGGAGTAGGGGAACGGGACAGGAAGAATAGGGAAAATTATCTGATATTAAAGAAATTTTTAAGGAAGAATTTTTACAGTGAAGGAGGAATGTACAACACTTGAACCTTACTCTCATCTGAACTGGTTCAAAGAGGGAAGAATATATATTACACACAGTTGGGTACAGAAATTCATCTTACTCAACAGGAAAGTAGGAGGGAAAAGAGAAGAGAAAGAAGGATGGTAATAAGAGGGAGGGTAGATTAGGAGGGATTGGTCAGAAGCAAAATAGTCTTTTGAGGAAGGACCAGGGTAACAAAAAGAGGTAGATAAATGAAAGAGAATAGAATTGAGGGAAAAACACAGCAATCATAACTGTGTATATAAATGGATGAACTTACCCATAAAATGGAAAAGGAAAGCAAAATGGATTGAAAACCAGAATCCAGCATGTTGTTTATAAGAGACACATTCAAAACAGAAAGACACACAGAGTCAAAATAAGGGGCTAGAGCTGAATCTGTTATGCTTCAGCTAAAGTAAAAAAGGCAGGGATAGTAATCATGATCTCAGGTAAAGCAAAAGCAAAAACAGACCTACTTAAAGATAATCAGGGGAACAACATTTTGCTAAAAGGTATATTGGACAATGAATTAATTTCATTATAGAACATATATGAAACAAATGGCATAGCATCAAAATACTTGAAGGAAAAGTTAAGTGAGTTACAAGAGGAAATAGTAAAACTATACTAGTGGGGGACCTCTGGTCCCCTTAGACCCCTCGATAAAGCTAACCATATAATAATAAGAAAGAAGTTGAGATGAATAGAATTTTAGAAAAGTTAGATATGGTAGAACTTGGGAGAATATTGAGCAGGAACAGAAAGAAGTATAACTTTTTCTCTGTTGTACATGGCACCTTCACAAAAACTGACCATGTATTAGGGTATAAAAACTGTTGGGAAAACTTGGAAGTAGCATGGCAGAAACCAGGCAGAGAGCATCTCACACCATATATAAAGATAAGCTTAAAATGGGTACATGATTTATGCATAAAGGGTGATATCATAAGCAATTAGGGGAGCATGGAAGAAATTGCCTGTCAGACCCATGCATGAGAAAGAGTTCATGACCGAGAGATAGAGAAGTTTGTGGTAGTTAAAATGGTTAATTTTAATCACGTAAAATTAGAAAGGTTTTTGCACCAAGTCAATGCAGCCAAAATGGAGGAGGGAGAGCAGGGAAAAAATTACAACAAATTTCTCTTTTAAAAGTCTCAGTTCTCAGATATGTAGAGAATGGAGCCAAATTTATGAAAAATAGGAACCATTCCCCAATAGATACATGGTCAAGAGATAAGAACAAGCAGTTTTCAAAGGAAAAAAATCTAAGCTATCAATGGTCATCTGAAAAAATGCTCTAGATCACTAATAATTAGAGAAATGAAAATTAAAATAGCTCTGAGGTACTATCTTACACCCATCAGATTGGCTAAGATAACAGAAAAAGAAAACATGCTGGAGGGAATGTGGGAGAATAAGTACACAAATGCATTATTGTTGGAGTTGTGAACTAGTCCAGCCATTCTGGAGAACAATTTAGAACTATGCCCAAAGGGCTATAAAACTCTATATACCCTTTGACCCAGAAATGTCGACACTAAGTCTATACCCCAAGGAAATTTTTTTAAAAAGGGAGGGAGGAAGACCCATATGTACAAACATTTATAGCAGTTCTTTTTGTGGTGGCAAAGAATTAGATACACAGCAATTGGAGAATGGCTAAACAAGTTTTGGTATGTGAATATGCTGGAATACCATTGTGTTGTATGTAAAAATGATGAAGGGTATGGTTTCACAAAAACTTGGGAAGACTTACATGAACTGATGCAAAAAGAAGTGAGCTGAACCAGCAGAATAATCTGTGCAGTAATAGCAATATTGTAACAATAATCAGCTGTGCAAGACTTAGTAACTCTAATCAATACAATGATCCACCAAAACTCCAAAGGACTCCAGATATAAAATTCTGCCCACTTCCAGACAGAAAACCGATGGGCTCTGAGTGCAGATTGAAGCATATTTTCCCTTTATTTTTCTTGCTTTTTAAAAAAATTCAGATCACGACTATGCAGAAATATGTTTTGCATGCCTTCATATGTACAATGGGTGTCATATTTCTTGTCTTCCCAATGGGTGAGAGAAGGGGTGAAGAGAGGGAAAGAATTTTGAATTGAAAACAAAATTTTGTTAACAAGGATAAAGTATCCTTCTGATGTGTTATGGTACTGTCAACATTTTAAAGCTTCACACATGTTCTCTAGATTTTTCTTTGTACTTTTATGAAAGCCTTCCCTCTCTTTATTAGATCATTTTAAGTGAAAGATTCCTAGTGTAGCCATAGAGTTCCTGAGCTCATTTATTATTCTTAAAATAGTTTGATGTAATCATCTTGTGCTGTAGAATCTAAATATTTGAACTTTCAAAAAATGTCAGTGCTTTTTATGTCATACAGAACCTCATTCATTATGAGTGAACTAATTTCAGAGAATCTGGTCAGTTAACCTAAGTCATACATCCCAGAAGACAATGAGATACTGCTGATCTTGATCCTGTACTATATCCTAATGGTGAAGCATGAATCTCAGAGAAAAATAAGATGGTTAGCCATGTCAGTAGTATATCTGGCGCCAAGAAATTGATTTGTACCATATTTGTTAATGTTATATGCTATCTTTAAAGTGTGAATATGAGTTAAAATCAGGTGTTTGTATTTATTTAGGAAAAGTATTTAATGAAATTCAAAGACTAGTAACTGGTGATCCCATGTGTTGGGTGCGTGCTGTTTCCATTTGGAGAAGTCTTGAACTGGAAGAAAATCTTCCACCTGAAGTGGCCAAACCCTCCAAAAGGAAGACAGGAGAAAATGAAAACATCGTTACTAAGAAGTTAAAAATAGAACAAACACTGGCGATGCCAGGGGATGCAGAATGTCAGCTGGAAAAGCAAAACAGTGACAAGATGGAGGAGCATAAAGATCTGACAACTGAAAAAGAAAACTTTCAAGAAGAAAAATCTGAAAATGATGGGGAGAAAGAAGTTGAGCATCACCAGGGCAAACTCACTTTCAGAGTTTCTTGTCGCTGTAGTGGAACAATTGCAAAAACATTTACCACAGAGGTAGGTCTTCCTGTCCTCCCCTCCCCTCCTCCCCAGAAAGTTTCCTTTTTGAGGAAAAAGTTTAATTAGATTTGAAGCTAAGGTTTAATGTACACCTCTGCATGTATACACATACGTGTATATGAATAAAAACAAAATTTATATATACATGCATATATATTTACGTACCTATATTTGTTTGCATTGAATTACTTAGCTTTTCTCCCCCTTGTTTAAGGGGAGGGAAAGTTATAGAATCCTAAGTAGTTAAACTATTTTTTTTCAAAGCCTAAGTCACTTAACTTTAATTCAAAGATATCCTCCTTAGTATTTGAGAATCTTGATTTTAGAAGCTCAGCTTCATGCCTTTTGAATGAATAAAAAAAAAAAGCATTTATTAAACATTTTCTGTGTGCTAAGCACTGCTAAGTTCTGGGAATACAAATACAAAAGTGAAGAGAGCCCCTGCCCTCAAAGAGCTTATGCTGCAATATTGGAAGATAATAGAAATTCCTACGATATTAAGTAGAACAATTAATGCACCTTTTCTAGGTTTAATTATGCTTCCAGAAGTGGAATATGGAGTGTGGGGAGGAGGAGGATATGAGAAGGGTATGTGGTGGGAAGCCAATTTGTGAGGACATGGAAGCTGGCTGGAGCTGCCCAGACCTCATAGAATGAACCACATGAAACGCTCAGTAGTCAGTGTGGCAGTCTCCCGGTGCCCAAGGACCTCAGTTCCAGAGATGAAAGGAGTAAGTCTTTGACGGCATTGTCTCTCATCTTTTTGTAAGGCCAGGGAGGAAATAGCTGAGTAAAAATGTTGTACCTTCTATATCCTCAGAGACAGGGCCAAGATCTCTGACAGACAGGCACCATTTCAGATTATATTTAACAACTGTTAATAGCACAAGCATCTCACAGTCTAGCCAACTTTTCTACATCCCAAGATATGCAGATTTTTCCCCCAGGAGTACACTCAGGAGTAACTTTTCTATCAATTCTTCTCCTTTAGCATGCTCCCCCCAAACCTCCATTCTAATAACCCTGTTTCTCTTTACAATATAATACCCACTCTTAATTACTACTAGCAGTTTTCTGCTAGAAAGTTGTATTATTTATACAAGACATAAATTATTTACACAATAATTTAACAGCTGGGTGGTACAGTGGATAGAGCCACGGACTTAGAGTCAGGATAATCTGAATTCAAATCCTTCCTCAGATGTTTCCTTGCTGTCTGACCCTAGTGAGTCGCTTAACCTCTTTCAACTTCAGTTTCCTCATCTGTAAAGTGGGGTTAATAATAATACCTACATAACAGGGTTGTGAAGATAAAATGAGGTATAAGATGAAAACTACTTTGCAAACCGTAAAAAACTATATAAATACTAGCTATTATTATATTGTATGTTGATGATGGGGAAAGCACCTTGTATCATCTTTTTAATGCACTGGTTTCTTCTTATTAATTGTGATCCTTTGAAGGCCTTTTTGACATTTTTGCCAGGTATTATAATTAGAGTGGAATGTCTACACTGGTGTTGTGTTGTCAGAGGCCTAAACTGGTCAATGATGCAGTGCTATCTGGGCCTTCAAGCTAAATGACATGCCAAATGTTAACTGTTTGCTGCCTAACACTAGGACTACCATGAAGAGACAAAATAGTGTCACCTCTCCATACCTCGGGTTCTTACAAGAGTCAGTGGGAGAGAGGGCCTAGTTTGAGGCCTGGTCGTTGGTTGGTTGTTGTCTTTCGTTCTTGAAGAGGACCAAAATGACATCACCAGGCTAGAGTCAAGTGTCAGTGTGTCCGACTGCGGCTGATCAAACCAACGCGAGCTCAGAATGTTCTACCAGAGGTCAGGCACCAATAGTCCATGTCCACTGGGGCCTGGTAGGCAGCCAGAGAATGTTGCATATTTATGACCACCAAATTGGATCAGTGGCACCACCCAGCCAATCCTTTAACATATTCATGATAGATACAAATTATTGGAACTGAACCAGGCATGTGGCAAATCCCATCAATTTTTTAGACATCCAGAGTTATCAGATTTTCCATACTGCAATTTAGTCTTTTGTGTATTCAGAAGCAAACTATCAATATGGAAAAGACCATAGAGCTAGAAGGAGCCTTGGAAATCACCTAGTTCAACCCTCTCTGTTTTCCAGATGAAAAAACCCTGTGGCCTCAAGAACTTAAGTGATCTGCCCCAGGTCACCCAAGTATTAAGTGGCTAAACTAAGATTAGAACTCAGGTTCTCTAACTCCAATGCTGTGCTCATTCCACCCCTGCATGCTGCCACCATCATTCTTTCCCCAAGTAAATTTTATATTCTGTAATGGAAAAAGGGTGAGATTTGGAGCAGGGAACCTGGATTAGAATTTAGCTTCTGTTACACCCTGTGCAGTCTCGGCCCCTTTACGGTATTTTCAGGCCTCAGTTTCCTAATATATCAAATGAGGGAAGTAGACAAGATGACCTCCAGGTCCTTTACAGCTCAAATCTTAAGATCTCTGATCTATGAAAAAGTTTTATTTGTGTGAACTGTGCTGCCTTGTGGGAACAGCTTTCTACCAAGGCAAAAGACGAGGCTATTGCATCAAAACAAACACATTTGTAAGGATTTGCATTTCTGTGCTAGTTAAAGGAAGCATCCCTTTTAAAATCATTTCTTGAAGGAATTGTAAAAACCCCTGATGAATTCATTAAATGATTAATTTGGTAGGTGAACAAAATTAATTAGATATAGCAGTTGCGTGTGTGTGTGTGTGTGTGTGTGTGTGTGTGTGTGTGTGTGTGTGTTAATGCAACTTTAGTTCTAATAGGAAATGTTTTGGTATGATATATTTTCATCACATATTCCAACCTTCTTACACATCTCGTTAGTTTTTTGGCTATATCTTTAAGCTAATATGTTCATTCTTAAAAGTTTGATCTTTTTTCCTTAACTACTACTTTTCCAGGAGGTGGGAAGGGTAATTGGAATTGCTCTTATAAAGCAGTTTGGCTGGAAAGCAGATTTGAGAAACCCCAGTTTAGAGGTAATGAACATTTGCAAAACTTTTTTTGCTACATTTTAAGTTTTGTTTTTAAACTGACACTATTGGGTAGTTTCATAATTTTATTTTCTATTTTTTAGAATTTTTCTTAAAGAGCACAGCTATACAGAAGCAAAAAGTTGTTTTCATTAGCAACAGAGAATGTGGTTAACTTTGGTGGTTTTCATTATAAAATTTCTCAATGATCTGTTTATTCACAGTGGGGGACTGGTTCTGGATCAATAGAATCAATTTGGAGTATTTATCACCCCCAATAGACATTAGGAAATGCTTGCTATAAGAAAAATCTTTTAGTATTATTCTGACAGCATCAAATATAATGGGTCACAATTAGGCAACTTTTTTTGTTTCATTAATTCAAAGGGTTATTTATTTGACACACACCACTTAAAATGGAGTGATGTCTCACCCAATTAAAAACTTGTTCTTTGGACCAAGCCAGGGCATACGCTACTGGTTATAGGAAGAGGAATCCTGTTTAGTGACATCTGGAAGGAAGGAATGTAAGGACTAGAGAGATGGACAAATTATCCACATTAGCTGAGAAATAGGACCTAAACAGAGTATGATAGGAATAAGGTAAAGATAAAGGGAAACTGACAGATTGAAAAAAATGTTCCATTGAGTTTCAAATAGATAGTTTGTCCAGCAGGTATGGAGAAACCTCAGAACGGCCTGGGGATTTACATGGAGTCTTTGGCAGGCACTGAGGAGCCACTTTATCTCATAGCCTTTGCAGAACCTCTTATTTAGGACTGTCCATCTGAGTTAGGCAGAGATCTCCTTAAGGTAGATCACTCCAGAGCCCCCAAGCCACATTCATTCACTAAACATTTATTGAGACTTGGGTATACATATAACTTCATACTATGTATATAACTTGCATAACCTAATCATGTCACTCCTTTGCTAAATTACTTTCAGTGGTTCTGCACTGCTTACGAAAAGAAATAGAAACTGCTGATCCTGGCATTTAAGACTCTTTCTGTGTAATCTTAATTCCAGCCTGCCTTCCCAGCTTTCTGTCATACAATTCACCTTCATGTACTCTGTCCTAACTAAATGAAATGAAGCTCCATTCCTTTTTCTCACCTTATTTTCTTCTGTCTCTATGCTTTTACTCATGCTATTTCTTTCCTCCTCCTCTCATCTGTAATGGACTTTACTTTCTTCAGTTTCACTTGTCCCTCCTATGTCTTACCTATGAGGTCTTCCATAATCTAGTTTACTGTGATGTCTCCCTTCACTGATTTCTCATAGCATTTGCCTAGACTTCTACTTTGCAACAGAAAGTGACGGCTTTCTGTGTGTGTGTGTGCGTGTCCCCCTACTCCATTAGAATGTGAGCTCCTTAAGGACCACATCTATGCCATATTTTTCTTTATGTCCCAGGTACGTAGCATTTAGTAGATGCCTTTTAAATCTTTGTTATGCTGAATTGCTCCCACCTACACTGATACATGAATTTCTAACAGCATACACGTTTTACCTGTAAAATGGATGTATAGTATAACTGAAACCTTTGCTTAAGAAAAAAAAATTCTAATGTTTTTCATTATACTCTATAACCCTGAAGGCCTGAGACCTTCCTCTTAAAATATAGGCCTTATGGGCACAGAACTAAAGCATTCAGGTTGCCACCCAGAAGCTGTAATAGTGGAGTTTTGTTTTTCAGTCTAATTTCTTGTTTATTCTTTCAGATATTTATACATCTAAATGACATTTACTCCGTGGTGGGGATTCCTGTTTTCAGGTAGATGCTTATATTTTTGTGCTTCAGGATTTTTGTAAGTTCACTAATGTTTTTAAAGTCAACAACTAGCAAGGAAGATTAATTTGATTAGATGGAACTTAAGGCTTGATATTTCATGTTTTGTATATGCCTTTAAAAAACTCTGATAACATACAGTTTTCATTTTATCTATTATTTTAGAGTGTAAAAATGTGGATAACAAGCTATGAACTACATTGATGACATTGACAAATTATAGCTAGTGTCTAAAGTATTTTAAATTATTCATTAATTTAGAAAATTAAGACAGACTGGATAAGAAATGTATATATACATATACTTAGAGAGATAGCAAGCATTTATTAAAATTGAATATACAATGCAATTCTTGGGGCCCTTAGTACTCATTACCAAGTCTGATGCATTGTTAATTCTTTGGAAAGGTCTGGAGAACATTTTTCCAACTCTTTAGAAAATCTAAAAATAATGTTTGTCTAGTCATATAGTAGAATACTGTCATGTTACTATAAATGTAAATAAGGATAATAATAATTCCTGCCTCAGTTTTCTGGAAGATTCTTCAAGTTATTTGTATTGTATTGTACATGACACCACTAGAATAAAGTCAAGGGTGGATGTAAGTAGTGGTGCCCCATCTCTGCAGCTGCAGAGCCAAAGGCTTTCTGCAAGAGAACACAGCCATTCTGTTGTTGGACAATTGTAGAATTCATCCACAGAAGGTGGGGCTAATATAGAAGAATATTTTTGTCATTCCTCCCACTGTTACTCATTAATTCAACTTATAGATCAAAGCATTATACAAAATATATAATATTGTTACAGAAATGATTTAGTGAAAAATTTGATTTCATAGGTGCCATATGGAACAATCTCATAACATTAAAGATGCATTTTTAAATTTTGCTTCTTCCTACACTTAGCTGTGTGCCTTAGCTGCCAAAAAAAGTCACTGTAATCTTCAACTATATTAATAGAAATAATGTTCAGAACCAGAAAGGTGGTCATCTAAGTGTACTTGCCAGATCATCACCTGGAGCATTGGATTCTGTTTGGGGCACCACTTTTTTAGGATGTTAACAGAGTATTTTTTTTTTCCCAAAGAAGTATGACCAGAATAATGAGGATATTCCTAAACCATGTCACATGCAGATTGATTAAATTAAATAGGGAGAAGACTTGGAAGAATATTATGACTATCTTCAGCATGTCTAAGAGCTGTCATGTGGGTGGAAGGATTAGATTTATTTTACATTGTGCCAGTGGGAGAAATAAGACCAATGGATAGAACGGGGATGGGGAACATGCAGCCTTGAAACCACATTTGGCCTTCTAGGTCCGTGGATGTGGCCTTTTGACTAAGTCCAAGTTTAAAAAAAAAATCCTTTTATTAAGGGGATTTGTTCTGAGAAGTTTGGATTCAGTCAAAGGGCTACACTTGAGGACCTAGGGGGTCACATGTAGCCTCAAGGTGTAGGTTCCCCATCCCTGGGATAGAAGTTCCCAGGAGACCTAGTCTTTAAAAGAATTTCCAAAAATAAGAACCTTTTAAAAATCGAATGGGTACTGGGTTCCTTTTAATCAAACAGGATCAAGTAGAAGCCAAATGATGTCTTGCTGGGTATGTGATAGAGGGGGTTTGTTGTGTTAGACTTAATGACTTCTGAGGTCTCTTCTGTCTCTGAGGTTCTTTTCAACAATTACATGAAATCCAGCGTTCTCAAACTCACATTTCATGTTTGGCTTCAGTTCATAGAGCTCATCCATTTTTACTGTTGCTATCTAAATCTTTGTTTCTCTTCACAAAGGTTTGTTTATTCAAATATGTCTTCATCTGATCAAAAAAACTATGCCACATAGTAGACCTCAGGTCAGAGTAAAGTTTGACACTTGTTCAGTCTTCTTGATGGATGAAGTTTGTCTACCGTATCTGCAGCAAATATTCATACCGAGTTCCCAGATATTTTTAATTCAGTGTAGTTATATTGCTGCATTGGTCTTAACATAGGCCTCATGTTCTCTCTCCAATCAAACTTATAGAAAACCTGAGAACGATGTACAGTCATGCTCCGACTGTGTTTTTGTCTGCCCATCTCTAGTTTGTTATGCTAAAACAGAGAGGTCGTGTGTTCAATTCAACAAGTATTTATTTGTCAGCAGCTCTCTGCAGTCCATGCAGATGCGAGGCACATAATTTTTTTTTAATTACCTAATTCTTACCCTCAACAGATTTACGATTTCAGTTAGTCCCTAGTAATCTTTTAAAAGAGGTAGCTCAGTGGATGGAGCGCTGGGCATTGAGTGGGGAAGCTCTGAGTTCAGATGTGGCCTCTGGCACTCAGTAGCCGTGTGACCCTGTGCAAGTCACTTAATCTTTGCCTTGGAGGCAGCTAGATAGTAGCTAGAGCACTGGGCCTGGAATCTGGGAGACCTGAATTCAAATTTAGCCTCAGGCAAATCACTTAACCTCTGTTTGCCAAATCTACTGGAAAAGGAAGTAGCAAAGCCGCCCAGTATCTTTGACAAGAAATCCACCCCCAAAAAATGGGGGGGGGGGGGACAAAGAGTCGGACACAACTGAACAACAGCAACAACAAAGCCTTTTTAAATGTTTCCCACTTCGATGAGGGTCTCTGCATTTGCCAGCAGTACCTGCTTCCTGCCAACCTAGAAGACAGGACCCCTTCCCTTGGGCCCATTTTGGGCAGTTTCAAGTCATGCATGGAGCTCCTGTGACCTTCATCAATTTTATGTCTTTCTTAATAAATATATGATTTTTGTTCACTGATTTCGTATGATTATCATTCACTGCTTTATATATTTTCCTCTAAAATATCTCATTTTGGGGAGTGGAGCCCGTGTTCACTTATAATCTGTATTTAAATCAATAAAGTGTATTATCAGCATCAGTCTTGTAACAACCCATTTAAAAGAGGGAACAGGAGGTAGCTAGGTGCCACAGTGGATAGAGCACCTGCCCTGGAGTCAGGAGGACCTGAGTTCAAATGTGACCTCCGATACTTGACACTTACTAGCTGTGTAACACTGGGCAAGTCACTTAACCCTGATGACCTCACCAAAAAAAAGAAAAGATACAAAGACAAAAATTAAACCATTGCTGCCCTTAAGAAGCTTACATTCTATTAGTGGAACATGAACATATAGAAATATATCCAAAATCAGTAAAAGGTCATTTTTGAGGTGAAAGCAAAGCTTCCTGGGGGATGAGGAAAGTCTTCATTTAGAAGGCAGCACTTGAACTAAGCTTTGAAGGAAACTAGGGAGTCTGAGGCACAGAGGTGAAGAGGGAGAGCATCAGCAGCAGGGAGAACAGCCAGTGTTAAAGACGTGGGGATGAGAGAGGAAATTGTAAGGGTTTGGAACCACAAAGGAAGGCCAGGGGGCCGTACCCTAAAGGAACAAGTAGACAGACGTGAGAGAGATGATAGTACAGTTGGGAAGATTTGGAATTGGTCAAATGGCGGAACCCAAGTAATAATGATAGGGTGTTAGCCTAGAGAATAGACTTTGTGGGGGACACATTAACTGACTTCAGGTATTTACAGGATTGTCCCGTGGAAGAGGATTTAGACTCATCTGCCTGGTCCTAGAGGGCTGAAGTAGGAATTGTGGGTTGAATTTGTGGAGGCAAAATCAGGCTTGATAGAAGGAAAGACTTTCTGATGATTAGTGCTATTCAGAAGTACAAGGCACAGTCTCAGTAGTGATGGGGAGCTCTCTTGCTGTGGTATAGTAGGAAGAGCTCTGTATCTGGAGGCAGAGGCCTGGATTCAAACCCTAGCCCTTGGGGGCACTATGTGCCCTTGAGCAAGTCTCTTAACCTCTGTAGGTTCAGTTTCTTCTGAAAAATGAAGGACTTGAATTAGAAGACCTCTAAGATTCCTTTGAGCTCTCAGTCTGTGATTCTCTGAGCCTCATTGGAGGTCTTAAGCAAAATCTTTATAAACCACCTTTATGTTCTGTGAATGGGAGATTCCTGTTCATATGTGTGGGTGCTGGCGTAGATGGTTTTAGATGGCCCTTCAGAGTTTAAGATTCTGTGATCCTCAAAACAACCTTGGAAACTTACCTGCAGAAAAGGCAAGTGAATGCCCTGGATTCTGTGGTTTGTGAGTGGCCATTCTGGAACAAGAAGCAAGGTCTACTGACTCCTAGTTCAATATTCTTTCCACTCTTCTATCCTGCCTGCCTCATTAATTTCAGTTGCCTAGAAAACTCACTTTATCTAGAATGCCTCAAGACCAACTCTGCCAAGTAACAAATGTGTTTATATCATAAAGTTAAAAACAATGTACTGTTTTAAATATTTTATTGCATGTCTATGAGTATATGAGAATACATCACTTTTCCTTGCTTCACATTTTCATTAATGTGTGTTAAATTGGCAAACAGTCTTGTTGACCCTATGACCAAATTTTTTGTAGGCTTCCTTTGGCAAGCAGAGCTTATATCAAGGTGGCAGGACTTCGTTCTACTATAGCTTGGACAATGGCATCTCTTGCTGAAATCAATGTAAGGAAAAAATGTCATTGTTGTAAGTAGGAATTACTTTTGATTTGAAAATTAAAAATTTCAAAAAATTCAAAGATGGGCACAAGAAATATACCTTAATGCTTAATGGGGAAACAAAATTCACCACACTGGTACTCATCTCTGTCCCTAATTAAAAGCTATTTACGTTGTAGATTTTAGCAAACTCATTTAAAATGTTCATTCCTGTTACACATGAGAGTAAAGACAGTTTCAGACTTTCTCATGTCCTCTACTACTTCATAAAAACATGAATATTTGGTATCTGAAATTATATACTCTGTTCTTTTACTTTCCTGGTATAAAAAAAAATCCTTCTTTACACTAACCAACTCTCTATCATTTCCCTCCCTATTCCATCCTTTCCTACATCTCCTTTCTCTATTCCTCATAATACTGAACACCCTTGGAGGAAGTCATTCTATGGTGCTGACTGGGTCCACTACAGATATGTTACCTAATCCCAACTGGGCCTTCATTGCTACATGGTAATCCTTTTACGCTTCCTTGATTAACTCACTTAACCTCTGTTTGCCTTAGTTTCCTCAAATGTAATAATAGCTAGCATTTATATAGTACCTGCTGTGTGCCAGACACTGTGCTAGGTGCTTTGCAAAAGTCATCTCATTTTAATCCTCACAACAGCCCAGCCAGGTAGGAACTGTTGTTCTCCTCATTTACATTTGGAAACACTGAGGCAGACGGACTTTCAGTGACTAGTCCAGCATCAGGCAGGTAGTCAGTTTCTGAGGAGGGACCTGTACTCAGGTCTTCCTGACTCCAGCTCCAACACTCTGTCACTGCACCACCTTGCTGCTGCATAAAACTTTCTACCCTTATCTTTCTCATCAGCATCAGTCTGTCACCATCGGCCTGCTGAATGTCTCCTGCTGGACATTCCACAGGCATCTCAGACTCAGCATATCCAAAATAGAATACATTATCTTTTTTCCCTTCTACACCTGCCCTTTTTCTTTACTTCCCTGTTTTTTTCAAAGGTTCCACATCCTTCTAATTACCCATGTTCTCCACCTCAGTGATCTTTGTTTGTTCCTTCTCCCTCATGACCCATATCCAATTAGTTGCTAAATCAGTCACATCATATTCAGAGCTCTGTATCAGACAGTGTTCTAAGTGCTGCAGACACAAACAAGGGCCAAAACGTTGCCGTTGCCCCCAAAGGGCTCCTACTCTAATGGAGGAGACGATATGCCAACAGCTCTATACTTGCAAATAAACACAATGTAAATAGGAGGTCAGGCTGAGGAGGCCGGATGATGGAGGACTGACTGCCCGTGCAAAGGCATCTCTATTCTCTCCACTCAGACAGCCACCACTGTAGTTCAGACTCTCATCACTTCTTCCCTAGACTACTGTGACAGCTGTCTGCCTTTATCCTCTACCCTCTCCAACCCATCTTCTACACACCTGCCAAAATCAATGAATAAAATAGAATCCTGTGTTTAACACTTAATGATAACAGCTAGTATTTATATAGTACCTTCTATGTGCCAGGCACTGTGCTAAGTGCTTTATAATTACTATCTTGTTTGATCCTCATAACAACCTTGGAAGATAGGTGCTGTTATAATCCCCATCTTACAGATGAGGAAACTGAGGCAGGCAGAGTTTATGTGACTTATCCAGGGTCACACATCTAGGACATATCTGAAACCAGATTTGAACCCAGGTCTTCCTGACTCCAGGCCTGGTGCTCTATCCATTGCACTACCTTGCTGCCTCTTAAAACCCTTTGTAGTCTGACTCTAGTCTATTTGTGGACTTATTTCACTTTACTGTACACACATAGAAACACACATCTGAGCTACATTGTAGTCAGACTGGCCTGCTGGTTATTGCATGCGCATGTCAGTCATTCCATCTCCCCACTCTCTGCTTTTGCATAGGCTGTTCCCTATGCCTGGAATGCCCTCCCTCCTCACTTCTACTGTTGGAATACCTGACTCCCTTCAAAGCCCCTTACCTTTGTTAGAGAGCCCCTTACCGACTTGAGGCCTCTCCTGATCTCTTGTTGTTAGTGCTTTTCCCCAGTTACTTTCTCTTTGTGCTGTGTGTGTTTATCTGCATACTGCCACAAGAGACATAAATGTGGGTATTTCTCCACTATGACTGTCACAAATCACTTTTTCTTTCTGTAGGTTGGTGCAGTAGTTTTGGATCCAATGTGTGGACTTGGAACAATCCTGTTGGAAGCTGCCAAGGAATGGCCTGTAAGTGCTAAAGCTAAGCAGGGTTTTGACTAGCACTAGAGCCATTTGGGTCACTGAGAGTTTAAGTGATTGGCTCAGGGTCACACAGCATGTGTGTCAGAGGCAGGACTCACACCCAGGCCTGACTGACTCTGAAGCCAGTTCTCTGTCCATTACACCAAGGATATTTACATATACAGTTCTGTGCAACCAATCCTTGTTTATGGGTAAATTATTTTTAAAATTATAGGACTTTAGATTTAGATGAGGTCATTAAAGGTCATTTAATCCAGCACCTTCACTGTGCAGATAAGGAAGCTTATCACCAAAGAGGTTCACTGGCTTGGCCAAAGTGACACGGGTATGCAAGAGTGCAAGAATTGAACCCAGGTCTACTCACTCTAAATCCATGGCTCTTAGCTGTAGCATATTTGTCATTCCTAAGATATCTCCCCTTCCCTGCAGTGGAATACAAACTACTGTCAATAGACAAATAAACAATTAGATAACTTTATTGTAGGAAAGTAATTACATGCCAAATTATTTTGAGCTTATGTATATAAGCTTTATAATTCTTTTTTTCTTGCTTTGCCTACATATAGCTTATCTCTAATTCAATTATAAGTGTCTCAGGCAGGTACTGTATTTTATTTCTCTTGTACCTTTCATGAGACCTATTGTACTGCACAGTAGCAGGTAATGAGTTCTTATGGAAGCAAGGCATAAATATAATGTACTCCAGAACCAATAATGATTGGATTATCTGTTTCTTTTACCATTTTAGGAAAATGTACAAATGTTTCAAAAATTCATTTCAACAAACCTTTGTTAAACACTTATGTGAGAAGTACTGCTATTCTAGGTAGTAGGGGTAGATATATTCCTTACCTTAAGGAGTTTATGGTATTATAGGATAAGATATTTACGTAAGTAATGGTAGCATTAATATACTTTTACTTCCACATGACAATACTTGAAGATAACTATCATTTTGATCAATCAGCCAGCATTTTAAATGGCCATTATGTGCCAGGATTTGGGCTAGGCACTGGATACACAAAGACAAAAAAGGAAGTGGCCCCTGCTATCAACTAACTTACATTCTAAAAGACAAAGTAATGTGCCCCAAAATAGCTGTGAGGTACTTTAAAGAGGAGTCACTAGCACCTGGGGGATCAGGAAGGGCCTCACAGAGGAGGCAGTGTTAGAATTGAGTTTTGAAAGAAACTAAATATTGTTAAGAGGTAGAGGGGAGAAGGGTGTGTGTCCTAGGCACAGGGGACAGTCAGTGCAGACTGGAAGACAAGAGGTAGGTTGTTGTGTAAGATGCTGGAAGAATGCTAGTTTGGCTAGAATAATGATTGTGAGAAAGGGAATGATGTCACAAGACTGGACAGGTAAGTTGGAACTAGGTCATGAAGGGATTTCAGTACCCAGTGGTGGAATTCATATTTGGTTTTAACGGTAATAGGGAGCCGCTGGAGTTTACTGAGCAGGCAAGAGTCATACCCGTGCTTTAAGACTATCACAGTTGAATGGAAGATGGATTGAGTTGTCTTTTTTAGGCTAAGCATCGGTGGCTTCAACCAATAGCATAATCTCAAAGCTTTTCACCATGCTGGTTGACCTTTTGTTGACTCTTTCCAGCTTTCCAATGTTGTTCTTAAAATATGGTGCCCAAAAACTGGACCCAGTACCCCAGCTGAGATCTGACTAGATGAGAACACAGCAAGCCTATGATCCCACCTTACCTTTGGCAGAGTAGTGCTCTTAAAGCAGAGTAACATCATATTTGCCTTTTGGCTACCACGTCACACTGCTGGCTCATACTGAGAACCATAGGATTTCAGAGTTTGAGCTGAAAAGGACATAGAGTCTATCGATCAGGGGTTCTCAACCTCTTTTATGTCATTTGGCAACAGTCTGGTGAAACCTTCTCAGACCATCCTTTCTCAGAAAGATGTTTTTAAATGTTAAATACATAGGATTACAAAGAAGACCAATTATATTGAAATAGAGATTGTTTTTTTAAACCTAGTTCACAGACCCCAGGTGAAGAATCCCTGATTTAGCCCAGCCCCTTTCCTTTCCTGATGAGAAACCTGAAGCCCAAGAGAGGGTAAGTGACTTGGCCAAAGTCACCCAGGTAGTAAGTAGCAGAGTAAAAATGGGAACCCAGGCCCTCTGACTTCAGAGCATTTTCCCCACAATATGGTATGGCCTTTCCACCAAAACCCTCCAGTCTTTTTCAGACAAACTGCTACCATTTGATTTAGCCTAACATTCTAACCTGTCATGATATTTTTAACCCTGACTCTGGCATGCAGTTTGGTATGTATTTGTCCCAGCCTTATGTCATGTGCAAATTTGATGAGCATTCTTTCTTTGTCTTTTCCCAAATAATTGATAAAAATGCCATATACCCTCCAGCCACACCCCTGTCACTAGAATAGTCCATTAAAAACCTTCTCTGTTGACAGTGAACTATTTATGACTCTTCTTTGGGTCTGGCCATTCAACCAGTTCTGAATCTACTTAATCATACCAGTCTACTGCCAAGTCTACTGTTATCTTGTCCACAAGAACAGAATGAGCAGTTTTGTCTGATAATTTGCTAGATCTAGGTAGACTATTATCTGCAGCAGTGGTATCAAATTCAGATTGAATCAGGGCCACTAAACCCTGCATAAAGATCTCTACAGTTACATATTGACTTCTAAAACCACATAATAACATTATCTATGTTTCATTGTATTATTTTTATTTTATTAAATGTTTCCTAATTATATTTTAATCTGGTTTAGGCCTCTCTCTGCTTTATATTTAACACCTCCATCTACCATTCTCATAACCCTATTAAAAAAGGAAAGGAGGTTATTGTAGTATGATCTGTTCTTAAAAGTGATGCCATGATGCTCTTTGTGACTATGGCTCTGTTTTCTAGATATCCTACTTGACCAATGAAGATTTTTATATTATATTGTTAACAGCAGCATTAACACATCAAAATGAATTTTTTTCTTTTCTTTTCTTTCTTTTTTTTTTTTTTTGGCTAGGAAGTGGGGTTAAGTGACTTGCCCAGGGTCACACAGATAGTAAGTGTTATGTGTCTGAGGCCAGATTTAAACTTCCGGAATCCAGAGCTCGTGCTCTATCCACTACACCACCTAGCTGCCCCCTGAATTTTTTTCTTTATATTAACGTCAGGGTTTTTTTTGAAACATCCTGAATTTTCCTAAACATATGTTTTCCTCTTTCATTGTTTAAGAAAATGGAAATAGACTTGCTCAGAGAAGCAAAATATTTCATAATTTTACATATTCTTCAAAAATCTGTTTTCCTTCACAGAACGCCAGTTATTTGGGTGCTGATGTAAGTGACTCACAGTTACTGGGTGCTTTTGACAATCTGAAATCTGCTGGTCTCATGGACAGAATAGAATTATTTAAGTTCTGTGTAACAGGTAAGCTATCCAAAATACAAATGTAATCAAAATTAGGATATAGCTTAGTACATGTTTAGTGTCAGAACATTGTAAAGCAAAACTGATTTTCTATGTAGTATTAGAAAAGCATATTTCTTAAGGAATCAAAAAGATTTTATCACTGGAATTTATACTTAATTCACCTCAGTATTATTGTAGTTATTAAAAGAAAAGAGATTGTAATATTCTTCAGATGATTTATTCTTGGGAAGTATGATTTGAATAATCAGCAATTTTTCCTACATGCTTATTCAGAAGAGCAATGTGAGGCCCCTTGGATATGTCCAACTCTGTATTAAAATACATTTAATGGATTTGAAAATTTTTTTATAATCACATATCACTTAGAATGGATTTTAAAAGGAAAACAAAGACCAATAATTCATTGAATGTTTTTCAGTAACTTTAGGACATTTAGTGTATTTAATCTTTTTTTCCCTCTTGCAATAGTTCTGTGATAGAAAGAAATTACTGAACCAGTTGCATATTCAGGCATATAAATGAAAAAGTATTTGACAGTAGCAGAACTAGAAATGAGGTTTCATAGAACTTTATGGTTTTAGGGCCCATAGAAGATGGGCCTCATACCCCAGGTCAGACTCTCCTCAGCAATGTCCCTGACTGATTTTTGTAAGCCTCAGCTGTAACACTTCCAATAATGGAGAATTCACTGTCTCATCCTGATCATTTTAATCAGTGACTTAGATAAAGCCTTAAATGATATGCATGCTTATTAATTTTATGGATGACACAAAGCAAAGAGGGATAACTAATACACTAGATGATGAAATTATGATGCAAGAACATCGTGAAAGACTGGAGGGTAACGATGAAATTTAACAGATATAACTGCAAAGTTCTGCGCTTGAATTTTTTTAAATCAGCTATGCAAATACAAGATGGGAAGAGGATAGTTTGGTTGGAAAATATTTTATGTGAAAAAAAATAGGGCTTTTAATGGTCTGCAAGCTCAGTCTGCAATGTGACAACCAAACAAATGTTAATTTGATAGTCCTAGAGTAATTTCTTTTTGTCAAACTACATTGCAGGTGCTGTGTCCAGTTCTGCACGCCATATTTTTAAAGGAAAAATTAATGAGCCAGATCCTATGGAGAGACAGATGCTTAGCATACTGAAGGAACTCAGAAATAAGCAATACAGAGATTTAGTTTAGGGAACTAAGGATATTAATTTGAGAGTCATTTATTAAAAGGGAAGAAAAGATTTTAAAAGGACATGATAGCTGACTTCAAATACTTGAAGTGTTCTCATGTAGAAAAGTAATTAAACTTATTCTATTAAACCCCAATAAAGTGAACTTTAGGACCAGTAAGTGGAAATTACAAGAAAGCAGATTTTGATTCAATATAAGGGAAAATGCCCTAACAATTAGAGCCAGCTATATGGTACAGTTGGTAGTATGCTGGACTTGGAATCAGGGAGAACTGATTTCAAATCCTGCCTCAGACACTTACTAGCTGTATGACTGAGGTTAAGTCACTTAAACTTAACCTCAGTTTCTTTATCTGTAAAATGAAGATAATACTAGCATCTACTCCCCATGTTTGTTGTAAGGATAAAATGAAAAAACATTAAAATGGCTTGCAAACCTCGAAGTACTACATAAATACCAATTGCTATTGCTATCATATTATTAATATTATTATTATTATTATTATTATTATTATTATTGTTATTACTATTACTTTAAGAGCTGTCAGAAATGGAATGGGATTCCTCCAGGATTAGTAAATTTTCCAGAATTGGAGGAAGCAAAGAAGCTAAACAGCCACTTTTGAGGGATCTTTTAGACAAAATTCATGCTTTGGATAAGGATCAAATGAAATGACTTGAGGAGCCTTCAGATAGTTCTGTGATCCACAAAACAATCTTTTACATTTATGAACACCTCAAACTATTGTTTTTTTGTTGTTTTTTATTGAGCTCCCATCCTCAGATGGAACTGTCCAGCACGTAGTTGTTGACATGAGACCTCTCTGTGATTTCTGTTCATTTAGTTATTTAGACTTTAGTTCTGCCTTCTCTGAATCTATAAAACAAAGAAATTCTTAGTGGTACAATATGTACAAAAATGAGAATTGCAGTGTATTGGCACAGAAATACATTCATGATTTATTGAATCACTTCCCCACTTCAGTGGATTCCTAGTCTCATCAACATAAATAGTTCTTCTGGATTCCTAGTCTCATCAATGTAAATAGTTCTTCTGTCTACTTGTACAGATTGCATCCCTACAACTTTCTCACCTGTGCGTTTTCTCTGGCTATCCCACATGCCTAGAACACTCTCCCTCATCTCTGCCTCCTGGCTTCCCTGGCTTCCTTTGAGTCTCAGCTAAAATCCCACTTTTCTGCAAGAAGCCTTTCCCTGTCCCCCTTAAGGTTGGTGCCTTCCCACTGAGATTATCTCCAGTTTATTTTCTGTAGATCTTGCTTGTACGTTGTGTCCCCCATTAGACTGTGAGTTCCTTGAGAGCAGGAAATGTCTTTTTCTTTTCTTTGTAATTCCTGTGCTTAGCACAGTGCCTGGCACATAGGAGACAATTAATGCTTGTTGGCTTGATGACCTGTCTATCTTTTCATAATCTTCCATAGAGGTTCTACCCAGTGAACTGTGAAGGCTGTCTGCTGGTTCATTTTTATATTTTCTGGATACTTATTTTTAAACATTCAGGCTGTTTCTTTTATCCACTATTCTACTTAAATCTACTCTGTGACTTTCCATTGCCATTTGAGACGAGTGATATCTGGTCTTCTCTTTCAAACCCCCACATTTTTTTTCCAGACTAATCATACATTTATACATATATTCAGGGTGTCCCAAAAGACAGTGCAATTTACTTAAAACTGCACTAAGACTTTTGGTACACATATGCATGTGCATTGTGTGCGTACATGTTTATGTATGTGTGTGTGTAAGCTTAAAACTGTACTGAAACTTTTGAGACACCCTGTATATATAAAGGTATTGTTAGCCTGAAGAAAAAAACCCCATCAATTTGAAAGAATAAACCAAATATAATCACCTTACTCAAATAGCATTGGAAAACCATAGAGTAGATTTAATTAGCATAAACAGTTCGACTGTTTCAAAATAAATGGCCAGAAAATATAAAAAAGAACCAGCAGACAGACTTCACAGTTCACCAGGCAGACTCTCTATGGAAGATTATAAAAATATAGATAAATCAAATCAACAAGGAGTAAGTGCCTACTATGGGCCAGACACTATAGCACTCCTACATATGGAAATGTGTGTATATACACACAAAGATATATATGTATGTATATGTATATATGCATATATACTCACACATATAAATATGGTATATATGTATATATGTATGTTAGACATATACACCTATAAATACAATATACCTGTATTTCCATATGTAAGAGGAACTTTGTAAGTAGTCTGTGATGTTTCTTTTTCCAAAACCTGAACCAAATTGTCCATAATCAGAAAACTCATTACAAGCTAGCGATTCAATTCAGCAAAATGTCTTTCATTGGCATTATCTATTTTTTCATGCAAAACAGTATATCCCTATCTTTATTATCTCCAAAATGTGTATTAATTGATCTTTTACTGTTCTAAATCACAAGCATTGCTGCCTAGAATAGAGAGACTTGTCTATATTTGATTACATAAAACTCTAACTTAAAATTCTGGCTAAGTCCATCCTACATCCCTAGGAAGACTGTTTAGTTTCTTGGAAAGTACCAAAAAAAAAAAACCAGTCATTTTGGCTACTCTGGGAAGCTACTAAAGATAATCTCATGAGAGCTCCTCCCATAACAAGAAATATAACACTAGTGGGGAAAAATGAAAGCTACGAAAAACAATTCTCAAATAAGTCAACTATAGCAAAAAAGGAATGTTTCACCTTTATTTTTGAATCTCTGGCACAGAGCAAGTGCTTGTCACAAGAATGTTCAGGGTGCTTGCCAGCTAATGCCCCAATAAACTGGCGTAGACTACTACAGATAGACGGATAAACTGCAGGTAATGCATTCACATGTGACACACATACATCATCAGTACATAATAGACGTTGTCTCACAGTTTTGCAGATGACATGTGTATGTATTCTCTCCTCCTGAGCTACACAACCCAGAGAGAGAGTAGCAAAGAGACATATTTCTTGCAAAGTAGTTGATAGGATCAGGTTGGACATGTAGCATGAGAAGGTACATATTAAAAAAAAGAGTAAGCTTAAAATGTTCCTGAGGGAAAAATGTGTCCTTGTTAGCACAGCCATTTATAGTAGACCAAAGAAAACCATACCTTCTTAGTCGGTCAATAAGCATTTGTTAAGGGCCTGCTACATATAGGGCCCTATTACTAGGGATTAAAAAAAAAGGACTTTCTTGGACTATTGAGGGCCTCCGAATTTTTTTTGTTGTTGTTATCTTCTTGGGAGGTGTTGAAGGAGAAGTTTGTGTTAAAGAGGCATAAGAAAGAGAAAGAAAAATAACAAGTACAGGACAAAATAAGAGTCAGTTACATTCTCCCAAAACGACACTTTCAACCTGCTTGATAAACCCTAATTGGGTGATTGAAGGAGCTAGATTTGCCTTCAAGTTTGTGTAGTATCACAGATGACTTGATGTACTACTTTTTTAAAAAAAAATGAGATGAACTGAAGAAAGTTTAAATCTACATCTAATATATGTACACAAAATTTGGCATTTGAAATTAACACCTGTATTATTAATGAATTAGTCATTGAAAGATTAGATTGGCTTTTTTTTCCCCTAGATTCAACAAGTGTTCAAAATTTACAGTGTTTTCTTGTCACTGAATTATCCTTCATCATGAAAAGGAGAGGAAGGCTTTTACTGATAGGTTTTTTTGATGTTTAACGGATTAAAGATTTAGTTGTTTATAGATTCTAAACTTTAGGTGTCGCTAAATTATAGTGATTAGGGCTACCTGTATCTTGAGTTAAATAAGTAAATAGGAAAGACAAGGGCTTTTGGTAGCTTGGAATGGCTTCAAGTGAAACCTTTTTTATTAAGGTAATGTCTTTTGGAAAGGGATAAAACCCAAAGGCCTGAGGCTTTGTGGCATGTGAAAGGAGCCATGTAAAATGACGTAGGTTTGAACCCTAGCTCTCCTCTTCAGAAAGTAGAGTAAGACTGTGTTATGGAGAGCTTTACTAAGGAATTTGTGTACTGGGGATTTTTAGAGCTAGAAGGAGCATTGGAGGTAGATTTTACAGGTAGAGGGCCCTTTGGTCCGGACACCTGAAACTACTTGTTCAGATCTATCCCTAATGTCCCTCTTCCAGCTCTAAAAATCCTAAGTATGCAAATTCCTTAGTAAAAATTTCTCCAAATTTCTCTTAGACTGCCTTTCCAGCCTTATCTCATAGTACTTCCCCTCACATAATCTGTGTTGCAACCAACCTGAGTATACTCAGCTTACTCATTAACTAGTGATACAGGTAACACTAATCTAATTTTATTGGGGATACCTCAGGTTTAGGATCTATAAACTATTAAATTTATTTTAAAAAATCAAATGATTCCTCTTGCTTCCACAACTGTAGGATGCTTCAGTGATACGAAAAAATATTCATTTTGCAGACATTGCATATTGGGAGAAAATGCAAGTGTCATCTTTTAAAAATTGACTCTATATTCTTGGTGTCAGTTTCAGATATCAAATGGCTGTTGTCTCACAGCCACATTCCAGAAAAGCAGCGAGGTGGCACAGTGGATATAGCACTGGACTTGGAGTTAGGCAGAGCTGAGTTCCAGTCTTGCCTCAAAAACTAACAGCAAGACCCTGGATAGATCACTTAAGCTTCTGTAGCTTCAATTTTCTTATCTCTAAAATAAGGATAATAATAACATCTACCTTATAGTATTGTTGTGAAAATCAAATGAGCTAATCTATGTAGAGATTTGTAAACCTTAAAGTGCTATCTATGTAAATGCTATTATTAATTCCAAATATCAGACCTTCATTTTTTCTGTTCCTTCCATCTTAACTGCTTTGTCCTACTCTCTCCTTCTTCCCTTCCCCCAATCCCATCTTTGCCTTTTGAAATTTTGCCTGTCATATTTTATGGCCCAGCTCAGTTGTTACTGACAACTTCTTTCTCTTTTTTCTTTACCAGCTCATGGAGCTGGGTTAATTAATGGGTTTGTTCCCCGAGGGTCTGTCCTTGGCTGTCTTATCTCTTCTCTCATTATACTTTCTAATTTGCCAGTTTATTCCCACCACATAAATTACTGAGTCTAGGCAGATGGCTTCCAAAACTCAGTCCTTAACCCTGACCTCTTAGATGGTCCAGACCTGCATCTCTGGCAGTTCACTTCACTCATGTGGGCATTCCTCTGGCACATCAAAATCAAGGAATCTCAGATGAGACTTATTATCTTTCCTGCTAAACCTGCTCTTCCTACAGGTTGCACCACCATTCACTCAGTCTCCTATGTTATAAACCTTAGTTTATCTTTGTTCCATTTTTCATACTTCTGCTTTGGCACCAGAAGGCAAACTAGGAATAATCAATGATTCAGTCAACAAACAAACATCTGTTAAGGGCCTAATATGTGCCTAGCAATGTGTTAGGTGCTGGTGATATAGAGAGTGAAGCAGTCGTTACTCTGAAGGAGCTTACATTCTAATGGGGAAGATAATAAGCACATAAATAAATATATACAACATATAGGGGGTTTTTTGTTTTTTGGATTTTTTTTTTTTGCTGTAACTAAGAATTAGAAATCAAAGAGGTTAGCTATCAAATGGGAAATAGCTAAACAAGTTATGGTATATGAAAGTAATGGCATGCTATTTGTACTACAAGAAATGATGAAGGGGTAGTTTTAGAGAAACCTTTGAAGAGTTGTGTCAGCTGAGGCAGAGTAAACAGCACCAGGAGAAGTTTGTACAACAAAAATAATATTATCAAGACAATCAACTTTGAAAGACTTGAGCACTGAGCAGCCCAAAGACCAAGCACTGTTCCAGAGGATTTATAATAAAACATGCTAACCCCCCACTTTTTCATTTGCCAGTTGGCCAGGATAGACTGGATTGGTGAGAGACTTGAGACAGAGAAACCAATTAGAAAGTCATTGCAATGGCAGTGAGTGGGAGCTGCAGCAAGACAAAACTCAACCTCATTATAAGGGATAAAAAATTTCCCAACACTTATGTCTAAGGAAAAGGCTTGGGAGGTAATTAGCGCCCCCCTTAGTAGAAATCTCCCAGAGATGACCTCTACCGTCCTTTCAGCTCTGAGATTCTGTCAATTCTGTTACTGCTGTGAAACCTCCCCTGATCTCCTTCCCCCATCCAGTTCTTTTTTTCTTCATCTGAACTCTAGGCGCACATCCCACCTCTCCTTGGCCCGTAGGTTCTGTTTGTGTTAAAATACTTGTTTATACGTGTCTAATTTTCCCAATTAGATAGTAAGCTTTTGAAGACTTATAAGCCCTTTCTCTCTGTTCTTTATCATGTGCTGCACATGATGATGCTTTATATATGTTTGTTGAATTTTGAATATTGAATGTATAAAGGTCGATCTAGGCAGTCATCAGAAGCCTTAATCTGAAGGTTCTAGAAGTTAGTCTCCTCATTTTTCCTTTGAGAGAGGGAAAAGAATGAAACACCTCCCCCCACATCCCCTGTATCATGGTTCTGAAATGTAAATGTTTTTCCTATCTCTGAATCATCCTGCAGTCATGGAAAGGAGAGGACATTTTTTACTTATTTGTTTGACATTTCACGGTTTATAGATCCTGTTGTCCCAGCAGTTTAATGCACTCAGCTTATGCTTCTTACTTATCTACTAGTTTCTATATTGGGCTCTGTGTTTCTGTTTAAAGATTGTATTACCTTAGTTACAAGGAAGCTTTGTGTTATCCAGCACAGGCGATTTATGACCTTACAGTCAAAGCACTTTATATTTTGAGAATTTCTTTATGTTCTGCGTTTTATGGGTTCAGGTGCTCAGAGACTTAAGCAGTTGTTGAATAAAGTAATAACCTTATTCAGTTCTACTAAGATAAACATTGATGGACTTACCTGAGTACCAATCACTAAATCCATTATTTTTCCTTTTACTCCAATTTCTGACTTGGCCATCTAGAATTTTAAGTAGGCATAAAAACAGGTTTAAATTCTCCTTTCTTACTCAGTTTTGTTGAGTTGAAGAGAATGCAATCAAAGAATCATCAAGATTCTGTTTAGAGACAGGTTAACTCATCTGGGAAAGTGATCTCAAAATTGGACCCTTATAATTATGGGAAAGAATAATGCAATAGAAATCTGGTGTTCATGCTTTAGAAGCTAATGTGGCGTATCTTAGTTTTTTTTTCTCTGTGGAACCTTTTACCTTGCTGAACCAAAATAACAAAATCTGAGTTGGAAAGAATTTCAGAGGCCATCTAGTTCAACTTGAATCTGGCCAAGAATCCCCAGTGTAGCACCCACAAAAATGACCATCCAGCCTTCCTTTGAAGGGCATAAGTGAGGAGGAACTCAATATCTCCCAAGACATTTCATCCGTTTTTAAAGTGTTCTGTTAGAAAGTTTTTTTTTCCCATATATCAAGCTCAGATCTGCCCTCTGAAACTTCTACCCATTGACTCTTAGATCTGCCCTGTAGAACAGAACCAATGCAATCCCTCCTCCATCTGAAAACCCTTCAAATATTTTGCTGATCAATCAGTCAGAAAGAGATTATTAAATGCTAGAATATGTCAAGTACTGTGCTAAACTTTGGGGTTAAGAAGGCAAACACTAATCACTCTTTTAGTGATATGCTATAGAATTTTGCCAATAATCAAAATCAGACTTATTGGCCCATATTTTGAATACATGCTTTCTCAGAAAATTGAAATATTTGCTTTTTTCCAGAATCTTCCCCAACAAAGTCATGAACACCAATTTTCATTGTATAGGGTTCAGGAGAAAAAAAAAAGTCCCTTCTTTGAATTTTATTTTTGTTTGGATTATAAACAGTAGTGTCTTATAATTTAATTCTTTTGATTCTATTTTACAGAATTGCCATTACTTTCCCAAAGTGTTGATGTTATTATTTCTGATGTTCCATTTGGAAAAAAATTTAAATTAGGAAAAGACATAAAAAGCGTTCTTCATGAAATGGAAAGGCAAGTATAATGTATTTTCACTATTGTGTTATGTTTGGATACACTGTTTAAACTTTATGGTCATTTTAATATGTATCATTTAACAAGGTTTAGCAAAATGATCCTCATTCTATAGTCTCCTTATTTGTTATGGGTTGAATCTGAGTCTGCCATAGCCATTTTCTAGAATTTCAAAGTTAAATACGACCTACCTAAAGCTAGATGGCTCAGTGAATAGAGGGCTGAGCCTGGAGTCAAGAAGATCTGAGTTCAAATCCAGCTTCAAATACTTAGTAGCTGTGTATGACCTAAGCAAGTCACTTAACTTCTGTGTGCCTTCATCCACTGGAGAAGGAAATGGCAAACCACTGCAGTATCTTTGCCAAGAAAACCTCATGGATAGTAATGTCTGTGGGTTCATGTAGAGTCAGACATGACTGAACAACTGAACAACAAATGTGCCGGGCACTCTGCTAGAATATAAATACAATGAATGAAACAATTCCTGCCGACAAGGAGCTTACCTTCTAATGGGGAAGGTAACAAGTTGTGTGTATACTGAATAAATATGAAGAAATAAATACAAAATAGTTAGATATAAGGTAGATTGGAGGGTACACCAGCAGCCTGGTTTCATGTAGAAGAGTGTTCTTGAGAGATATCTTTGAAAGAATTCTCTGAAGTGTGGTTGAAGAGGAGCACATTCCAGGCATGGGGGGCAGCCAGCACAAAGACCCAGAGACAGGAGCCAGAGGGTTACCTGGGAGAATTAGAGAGAAGGCCAGCGTCATGTCTGGTGAGGCTAAGATCTTCAGGGCCAACTTGTGGAGGGCTACACAGTGAAAGAGCTAAAGGCTAACCAGCATAGCTTATACTTGATGCTTCAGGGAATGGGGAGCCTCCGGAGGCACAGGGTAAGCTCTGCTCTGAAAGAAAATAGCTTTAGCCACATTGTGGAGGTTGGACTAGAGTGGTGAGAAAATTGAGTCAGGAAAAACAATTGGGAAGCTACTGCAGTAGTCTAGGCGAATTGAAAAGGGCTTGAACCAGCTTTCTCTGTGTGAGCAGAGAAAAGGGGTCAGAAACAAAAAGATATTTGAGATAGAAACACAAAGATTTGCCAACTGATTAGATATATAGGGTGAGGGAGAGTGAGGAGGATATCACCAACATAAATAGAGCACCAGGACAGAGCAGTGTCACAGAAACCTAAAGAGGAGAGGGTATTAATAGGAGAGGGTGGCCACCAACAGTGTCTGAGGCTGTAGAGAGGTCAGTGAGCATGAAAACTTGAGACATGACCATTAGATTTCACAATTAAGAGATCATTGGTAACTTTGGACAGAGCAATTTCAGTTGAGTGATTTGGTTGGAAGCCAGACTGTAGAGAATTGAGTTAAGTTAATGGTACCATCCTATCCCCTTCATAATCTTTCCATTTCATTCCTGCATAACATTTTAGAATGATGTGACTTGCCTTGTACTTTGCACATGCATTTATTGGGATGTAAGTTAATTTGGTTTGCCTTTTCTATAGAATGGAAATAGATAATTAAAGTGAATTTCATGCTGGTGAATTTGGTTACTTTTTTAATGGCTCTGCATTATAGAACATCTTAGCTAATTAGCTACATCCTAGGATTTGAGTTGATAAAATTAAATTTTAACTTGAAAGTACATATAATCCTTTAAATATAGTTATCTAGGTTTTATGTACCAAAATAAAAATTAACTGTTCATGCCAATTATATCTTCTTGTTACAGAGTACTTTGTGTTGGAGGAACTATTGTATTATTGCTTAGTGAAGATCTCCACAAGTACCTACAAGATTATAAGGAAAGTAACATCACATGGAATTCCAGTAAGGACAGTACAGATGAATTCAAAATTGTAAAATATGTGAATGCTGAAGAAAAAAACAGAATTCAAGAGAATGTTTCATCTTCATTTCAGGATGTTAGACAAGAATGTTTGGACAAAAGGCCACTTTTTGGCACCCTGGTGCAGATGGAATGCCACAAAGTGAGCCTTGGAAGAACCGAGGCATTCATATCAAAATATAAGAAAATTCATGCTTCTGAACTACAACAGCCTTCTTAATTTGTTTCAGGTTATAAATTTAGCAGTTTTATTTTAGATGTACATTGGTAGAAGACCAATGATCTTCATACCAAAGTCCACAGTAAATTTTACCACAGTAAATTCCATTAAAATTATCACACAGACGTGAGCAGTGGGAAGTCCTGCCACCACTGAAGCTAATCTTCTCCTCTTCTCTTCCCTCCTTGCCTCCTCCACAGTTTTCTTGAACTTACCCAAATGGCCAGTCAGCAAGGAAAAGAGAACCGCCAGGGCATCTTTACCCTCTGCTTTTCCTGAGCTCCTCTCCCCGTTAGAGTCAGCCAGAATCCATTGAGAGTACTCTAACGTTCAGATGACTTCATTGAGATGGGTGTCACAATGCTATTCTTTCTGATGAATTAGAGGACTACTAACCAGGCCTTACAGTCTGCCCTACCAGTACCTCCTAAGGTCGTATTTGTAAAGCGCTTACCATGGAGTACCTGGCACATAGTAGGTGCTTAATAATACTTGTTCTCTCCCCTCCCTTTCCTCTTCCCTCTTCTTTTTCTTCTAACCCTCCTGACACCTTCCCTACTGTATCTGACCTGTCGATGTAATGTAAGGATCAACTGGCCCTTGCCATGTGCCGTCTCTTAGGATTTCCATCCCACTGCAGCTTCTTTTATGTGTTGTCTCCTCCCCAATTAGAGTATGAGCTCTTTGAAAGCAAGGACAATCTCACTTTTGTATGAGTCACCCATGATTAACACACTGAGTGTCACATAGTAAATGTTTAATAAATGCTTTTTCATTCATTTCATTCATTCGTAGATCCTCACTTAAAAATGTCTACTTTCATAGTGTTTTGCTTATTAGAGATTTAGTGTTTTTATTAACTAAAACATCTTTAAAAATGATATTATAAATGATAGAATTTAAATAACTGGCGCTGAGGCTTTCTCAAAATAAGAGGTGCAACTACCCTAGGCACTGTTTATTAGGCAGGCATTTCATCAAAAAAAAAAAAAGATTTTTAATATTTTTAGTAGTTCAAATTAAGTATATTGCAAGCAAGTATGATATAGCACAGAATGGATATTTTGTATTATAGTTCATTTTATAAATATAGAAATTCTTATTTTATTAAATGGAAAAATATTCTGTGAAGCTGATTTGATATGAATCTAGACGTTTATATAATCCTATGTTTTCCTTCTTTGTAAGAATGAGAATTATTTTCATTTTCAGTATATTGTGTCACCCATATTAAGGATAACGTCACTGAATTGATCATGCAGATGTCAGTAGTGCCAATATATTTAGGATAATGAAAAATAAACTTACTTTTAAAGTGTTGTGCAATTGTCACCTTTTTTACATAAGGACCTCCATTTCCTCACTTTCCCAGCATTTCAGAGGAGACCTAGAGTTCTGAGAAATGGGGACATTTTGCTTTTAGTGATAATAATCTTCCCTAATTCATGAGCGTATTCGATAGTCTAATTACTAAAACACATGCAGAATGACAAAATCTTCCTTCGCTGTTGTGGTGCAAGTAACAACAGTGATAGCATTTTAAGGTTTGGCACAAGTAATCATAATTGCTTACCTGTATGTAGCATTTTAAGCCTGAAGAACAACAGTTCACGTTTGCACGTGGGTAAGTAAATGTTTGGTCATTTTCAGTCATGTCTAAAATGCTGTGACCCCATTTGAGGTTTTCTTGGCAGAGGTGATTTACCATTTTCTTCTCCAGCTCATTTTACAGATGAGGAAACTGAGACAAACAGGGTTAAGTGGCTTGCCCAGGTCACAGAGCTTGTAAGTATCTGAGGCCAGATTTGAACTCTGGAAGATGAGTCTTCCTGACTTCAGGCCTGACTTTCTATCTACTGTGCCACCTAGCTGCCAGAAGTAAATACATATATGTATCTCTGTGCATATGTAGATATATGTATGCATATATACGATAGATTACTTTTTATATAACACCTCTTATGTGCTAGGTACTATTCTGAGTGCTTTACAATTATCTCATTTGATCCTTAACCAACTCTGCAAGGTAGATGCTATTATTACAGATGAGGAAACTGAGGCAGACATTAGTTGATTTGCCCAGGATTGCACAACCAGGCTGGATTTGAACACTGATCTTCCTGACTCCAAACCCAGTGATCTGTCCACTGTACCACCCAGCAGTATGGGGTGTTCAGGGAGGACTAGTGTGAGAGCTCACAGTGCTTTTGAGAGCTGCTCATCCACCTTCAGTGTCCACCTTTCATCCAACTCTTACCTGTGACTTCAAGAAGCTGTAACATGCACAGCAACCACATCTTGGTAAAAACCATCTCAGCAGAAGGGTTAACCAGGTAGCCAACAGGCCTCAAACCCATCAGTGAGTTAGGGGCATGTCTACCCCAAGCATGGGAAGATCTGTCCTGACAGGATGGACAGATGAGAACAGTTTGTTCCAATGGCCACAAAGGCAGCTGAAGAAGATGTTGTGGAGCACTTAGAGCTTAGTTAGACATTGAAGATGCCAAGGTCATCCACTGCATCCATCATGGGTCATCCTGACTTTTGTCTTGCCACTGGGCTTTGATTACTCTGGAAGACAGAGTGGGGCTGATAATTTTGAACAACTCTATCTCACTTAAATCTAATTCATCATTGTAACATCATTGGTCCTCTTTGAAAGCAAAGGATGAACAACAATATATATGTGTGTCTATACATAATATATATACATACATAAATATACATATATATACATACACACACACACACACACGCAATTTACTTCAACAAAATTCTACTCTAATGCCTCGTCGTGGCATGGAAAATGGCCCTTCTTAAATGTTATCCCAACAAAGCCTAAGATCTGGCAGGTCCTACTATCTCTCAAAGGTGTAACAGCCCACTGACAAATTGTAGGCCTGCCTGACAGCTTAGTTGAGTCTCCAGGTGGGCTGCAGACTGATAAGTTCTTCAGTCCTGGTCTGACCAGAAAAATGGGCTGTGATCAGCAGAGGGCAGACCCGCACCAGTAAAATGCTAGCTCCCTTAAAACTTTAAGGTTTACAAAACACTCTTTTCACCACAACCCTGGTATGTATACCGGCTTCTTGATCAGGCATCCCATGTCATTTATATTTTTTACTCTATCTCATTTTGTAATTGCAAATTTTAGTCACTTTTAAAAAAACCACCCCAAACCAAAGACTTTGGACAATATGTTCTATCCTTTTCTTTCCAATTTATTTGTTCCTAGGCCTGATTTTTAGGGGAAAATTTTTGTGTGGGTGGACATCTGTGTGGGTGTAACCAAGTTGCAGCAAACAGCAGGTAGAAAAATGTGTTTTTCACTGACTTGGCTGGCATCAGTGCAAATTACAAGAGCCAATATAGCAGTCCTAGGGATCTTAATATACTTCTGTCATCTAATGCCCCATTTTTAGTTTGTGCTAACATTTCTTGTACATGCAATGAATGAGAAGCACTTTTGAAACTTTGCAGAAACGGGACATCTTGTATCTTAAATATTATTGAATTATATAATAAAGACTCTTTTAAGTTCTTTGTAGTATTTCAGAATTAGAAGCTACTGTCCCATTTTCAGAATTATACACAGCATGAACTTCCAAATTAAATGTGCACATTCAGATCTCTTACCTTTGCCTCTGTGATTTTGACTTTTTCATGTATACTCATACTTGGCTAGAATAGGGACAGTATACATTTTATACGTGTTACACAAACCTGACATGAAGAAGCAATATTTTACATTCATTTAAAATAACTGTAAAGTCCATTTAATTTTTTAATCAGCCCAATATATATCTGTACCTTTAAAATAAATGCCTTACTGTAGGTGATTATTTTTTGGGGGGGTGAGCAGTTGGCAATAGTTCTATCCCGTACTGTGATGAATTTCCTGCTGTCAAGTGGGCCCAAACTGTAATGTCTTTGTGATAATTGAGCTGAACTTTTGTGAAGATGCAATATTTGACAATAATGTAATAAATTGTAAAGGTTAATAGATAAATTGAAGTGCTTCTTTGGCTTCCCCAGCAGGCACCTAAAGAGTCTGGGTCTGAAAAAACAAAAACAATAAATCAGGGGCAAACCCAACATCTCTGTGGGTGAGAGCTATAGAACAGACACACACACACACACACACACACACACACACACGTGTATTAGTTCAATAGGACCTGGCCAACATGGAAGGCCTTCTCTTCCTGGGGAAATCAGCTGGGAGCCCACCCTAGGACCAGGAGTAGAAGCAGAAAAGAAATAGACTCAAGAGTCAGGAGATCTGGGTTCAAGTCCTCTGTTTCTTCCTCTGTAAAATGGGGGAAATAAGGTACTACCTCCCTCTCAGGGGCTATATGAAGATCAAAGTAATATAAGCTCCTTAAAGGCAAGCCTTGTATATCCTTCAGCTTGTGACTATATATTGAATATAGTAGGAAATTAATCAATGGTTTGTTTGGACTTTTTTGAATGAGAAGGTCTAAAACTACAGAATCTTTTGGAATCATCAAACCTTTGTGAAGCCTTGCATAAATGTCAGCTATTAGGAGACACAGAATTTTTAAGTGTATAGGCAGGGGAGAGAAGCCTGGACAAAAGCATAAAAGCTTCTGGTGCCCATAAAAATCAGGGCAAAAACATTTCACTTCACTGGTATGCCCACAATGAGATATGAATCAGAGTACTGCTCCACAAAAATTCAAGGTCACCTGGCCAGCAAAGAACAACATACAAAACCTCTCTGTTGGACAGCATGGCCCAGGAAACATTGTACAGGTCAGGGATGACAGAGGGATGGAGTGAAAAGAGACTAAGTTTGTGCAACAAGACTAGCAGATAATAGATGAACCACCTATGCCAGGGGTAGGGAACCTGTAGCCTGGAGGCCACATGTGGCCTTCTAGGTCTTCAAGTGCAGCCCTTTAACTGATCCCAACTTCACAGAACAAATCCCTTTAATAAAAGGATTTGTTCTATAAAACTTGGACTCAGTCAAAAGGCCATACCCAGGGACCTAGAAAGCCACATGTGGCCTCAAGGCAACAGGTTCCCCACCCCTGACCTACATAAACAATGATCCCAAAAAATTAAAAGAGAAAAAGATAAATCAAGCATCTGAAGATATTATGGCAATTTGGACAAGGGCAAGGTCTCAATCACATATTCATTCTAGTGTCCAGTAGGTCTTCATGGGAGAAAAGAGCTAGCGTTTAGATTAGGTGGAATTCAAGGGCGAGAGCCTCGTGAGTGGTACTAAGGAGCTTCTCAGGAAGCTTCAAGAGAACTCAAGGCATCTTTGCCTGACATTCAAGGCCCTGTACAATCTGCCAGCACTCCACCTCTCCAGCCTCATCTCATTATTTATTCCTTTCTACTCCCTCTGTGTTCCAACCAAACTGAGCTAGTCTGTCTTCTGAATACACTGTATGCTTTCTTGCCTCAATGCTCTTAGACATGTTGTTCCCCATTCCTACAATGGCTCCTTTTTTTTCTTTTTGGATTCCTATCCGTCCAGCTCAAAAGCCACCTGCACTACCCTTCTGACCACCCTGTTTGGTAATGACCTTCCCCTCAGACCTCATAATACACTTTGTTATGTATCACTATCTCTTGACTCTGTTCCCCATGCCTGGAATGCTCTGTCTCTTCATCTCCAACTCCCAGCTTCCTGGCTTGACTCAGCTCAGATCTCACCTTCTGAAGGACCTCTCTCCCAGTTTCTTCCATTGCTAGTACCTTCCTTCTGCAATTACTTCCTATCTACACTGTATATATCTTGTATGTACATAGCTATCTGCTACCACACTTCAATGGAGCCTTGATCTCATCAATATGGATATTTCTACCATTAGTGGGACAATCTATCCATGTATCATCCTGTGTAATTCTTGTCCTTGTTCACCCAATGTGCTAGATTCCTTCCTTTGGAATTTTTTTTCCTATTTCATATATACCAGTACAAGACTTGAACAAGCCTAATTTCCCTCTTGCTACATGACTGGCTCACCATTTTTATTATAAATTCACTCTGTCACCCGATAAACTCCAGAAAATACCTATGCCTGGAGGATAAATTATAAACTCCTCCATTTAGGTTTTAAAGTCCTTTATAAACTGACCCCAATCTACCTTCCTAGCTTTATTATGTATGTTACTATACTTCCCATATTTTACAGTCCAGCCAAATTGACCTTCTTGCTGTTCCATAAGTATGACACTTGTTCAATGTCCTGAAATGCCCTACCTCCTCCTCTCTGCCCTGCAGAATCCCTTAGTTCATTCAGGACTCAACTTAACCTTTATCTTCTATATGAAACTTT